AACAAATTGGGGCGGAATTAATTTTTGAGCAGACAGTAGTTTAATGCCTTTTTAGCCCTATTAGACCCAGTAATATAATTTTTAATTTTCTGGTTGGTTTTATTTTGCAAAAAGTGGCTAATACGTAAGACGTCAACTATAACAAAACAATGCACTCCTCCCTACACTGACTTGGACAACACAAACGTTATATTTTGCATCCACTGTACCTAAATTTTGTGAAAATATGTAAACTTCAAGTAGTTAGAAGGTGCTTCCGAATAATTTTTAGTGACACTCACTCCATGTTTTATTTTCACAGTGCCGATGATGAATTCGCCACCTGTGCTTTTCCGCATTGCTTGCTGCTTTAGCTCCGCGGAGCAAAGGGCCACATTGCTGAATTTTATCTCATATGTAATCCAAAGCCCGATTGCAATTCTGTTTCGATTTTTACTAGTAAAATTCAAATCTCTACCTTTATGAAAGTATTAACGACTAAGCTTTTAGAAATTAATAAATTTTCGAAAAAATTTAACACGTAAGTTTCACCAAACTGAGATAGGCTAGAACTGAATCGACTTTCATTTGAGAAAACTCCATCAGAAAAATAATGAAGAATTTTTAGAAGAATCTTAAAGATAAGTGCAACTAGATAATGTGCTTCAGTAAAATCACAAAATTTTGTTTCAAATACTCAGTAGTTTGGAAATAAATAAATTTTTATTTCAATATTTCCTAAGACAAAACTAGAATCGCCTCTTCGCTAACTGGGTTATTGCATTAGAAGTGTGCATGTCACCCTAACTCTCCACAGTCATTATGCATTATTAATTCGCTTGTGCGCCGAGTTGGTATTCCGGCTTTTCTTTTGTGTACATCCTTTGGTAGAGTGGAGTTAATTAATTTGACGGTTTTTCTACTACCTCATTTGCAGACTGCAACTCGCTGCGCTCAGTTTTATTTTTTCAAATAGTTTTTGCTATTTGTCTTGCATATTTTATCCAACACCGCAGCGTGCATGAATTGAGTTGCTGATTAACCGCAAGGAGTGAGTTTTTATTGTTGTTGTATTGCGAAAACTTCGCTAAAAGTGAGCTTTTCGCGCTTCACCAAATGTATCATGCATAGGCATTTGTTGACACTTGGATGTTTCTGTGATTTCATGCTCGTTTAGCAAACAGTGTACAGTGTGTGTTTTGGAAATACCAGTTGGCATTTGCCAATTGATATAAGCCCGCTGAAGGCCAGGAAATTCGGTTCTAAATAAATGGTATAATACATAGTTATGTTTTGACTCGATTACTTAAGATTTCGAGGTTGCTCATAACGATCCTATGTTCTTAATTCAAACAGTGGTTCATTTTGCAACCAAACACATAGATGAACCAAAAGACCCTGATCTGTCGAGCATACGCTTTGCCTATCACAGTTTTATTGCTTCCGTTAGTGACTATTTCAATCAATTCTCCCGGTTCCTCAATGTTAAGACATCCAAGATGTTTTAATTTAAATCTCCAAATTTCGAATTTGTGATTGAGCATCGTGTCGAAGCTTATAAAAACTCTTCGTGGCTTAAATTCATTCGATTTTATTGTGCCTTCGTGAATCTGAGTTTGAAGGGACTGGAGTTTGCTTCAAATCGGGGTATGCTACTTAGAATGGGTTAGAAAAGAAACTCGTGAAAGTGATATAGCAGATAGTAGTTCCCAATTTTTTCTCAGAACATTTATACTAAATGACACAAAGAAATCGAATGGCGTACACCAATTTTTTAAAATATTTCATTGACCAGTGATCTTTAACTTCTAAAAAAGGTAAGACGTTTCCATTTTTTTATACCCTGAACAGTGTAAATTAAGTTTGCCATGAAGTTTGAAACCCTAAACGAAACGTTCTGGATCCTGAAAATATCAGCATAACGAGCTGAGTCGATTTAGCTATGTATGTACCTCTGTCTGGCTGTTGGTCCGTCTGCCTATTTATTCACGGACTCAGTTTTTAAGAGTTTTTTTTTTCCTAGAAATTGCTAATTTGTAGGAGTCGTTGATATCGAATCACAATAGTATATAGTTGTCATACAAACTGAATGATCAACATTGGAATTCTCCGAAGAAATTGTTCAAATCGAGTCACTATAGCAAATAACTGTCACACAAATTGACCAATCACCCTTATTGTGAGGAATCTTTTGTATTTGTGAAAGCTATTGAAGATTCGGTCGGTCCGTAGTTTTCGTTTGTTTTGTTAAATTTGATTCCTTTTTTGGCATCCGTACACATTTTGGAAACCACTGTGCTGAATTCACAAAGCGAAAATGGATTATGCCATAAGTCAACCGCACAGCCGTCACAAATGCAAGCAAGCACCGCAGCGGTGGCGAACATCAAGCAGAGACGATGGGGCTGTGCAGCATCGCCAATCGCGAACAGCAGCGGCGAATAAACACCACCTTGAGCGCGCCTAGATGAGCTGCCGCGATAAATATATTATGTCGTGTCTTCATTTATGGTATGTACTTATATGTATGTATGTCCATACATATGTCGAACAGCGTTGAAAGAGACACGCGAAGAAGCGTGGCAAGGGGAGCTTGTCTGCAACTCTTTTATAAAATACTTACATACAATTTGAGACGGTTAAATGCAGCAACGTAAGTGAATAAAATAAATGAAGTAAGGAAAATAACGCAAAAGCAGGGAAAAACCAACAAAAATTGAAGCGTTCCCTGCAACGTCGTGATTGTGCAATTTACATCAACTCAATTCCAAAGCTCTAACAAACCAACAAAAAAAAAAAACATGAACAGAAATGAGCGGCACAATAAATATTAAAAACTACATCGCATAAATGCATACATAAATAAGCCAACAAGTACGGCAAAGCTGCAAGCTACAAAAACATTGCGCAAAATATAACTGCGAACTGGTATTTGCCGCTGCTGTGCAATTGTTGCAACAGCAACGCTGCCGCACTGCGAGCATTTTTTCGAAATGCTGCATTCTTTCATTCTTATTTTAGTTGCTGCTGTTGCATATTTTTCCCTCAAGGACGGAGCGTGTTTTTCTAAGCGTCAACGCGCTTCCAAATGTGTACAGAACCAATGCCAAAAAACAGCTGCATTTAGTTTGAAAACCTGTACTGTGCGCTTTAATGCAAACAACAACAAAAAACGCTAAGTGGTTATTCACCCAACAATGCTTGGTCAACTGTGAGTAATTTCACAAGCCGGGCTAAGAGCGTATTTCTAACACATGACCGTAAAGACAACAGACATGCTGGCTGGACGGTCGGCTTGTGCGGTTGTCAAACAGCTTGACTGCCGCTTGGCTTGTTGACTCTACTGCATAGTAGGAAAACTGAAATGCCCTCGGAACATTAGAGTTAGAGTTACGGGTAGACTGAGAAATTCGTTTCGATTTTATTACTCAACATGGATGCCGGGTTCTTCCAACTTTTTGATCCCACTTTTGTAGTAGCTTCAGATTCGGTGTTTAGCTCTTCATTGTCGCTAAATTCCTTCTGAATGAGTTACTGAAGTTCGTTTGAACTAGATCCGGGCGATACGATGGATATACTATAAAAATTTCGAAGCCCAATTTATGCAATTGTGCTATATTTTTCCTTAATTATACTCTCGCAACAAAGTTGCTAAAGAGAGTATTATAGTTTTGTTCACATAACGGTTGTTTGTAAGTCCTAAAACTAAAAGAGTCAGATATAGGGTTATATATACCAAAGTGATCAGGGTGACGAGTAGAGTTGAAATCCGGATGTCTGTCTGTCCGTCCGTCCGTCTGTGCAAGCTGTAACTTGAGTAAAAATTGAGATATCATGATGAAACTTGGTACACGTATTTCTTGGCTCCATAAGAAGGTTAAGTTCGAAGATGGGCAAAATCGGCCCACTGCCACGCCCACAAAATGGCGGACACCGAAAACCTATAAAATGTCATAACTAAGCCGTAAATAAAGATATTAAAATGAAATTTGGCACAAGGGAGGGGCATATTTGGACGTAATTTTTTTGGAAAACTACTAACTTTTTTGTACATATCTCGAAAACTACTATAGCTATGTCAACCAAACTGTATAGAGTCGTTTCTTTTAGGCACTTCCATATACAGTTCAAAAATGGAAGAAGTCGGACAATAACCACGCCCACCTCCCATACAAAGGTTACGTTGAAAATCACTAAAAGTGCGTTAACCGACTAACAAAAAACGTCAGAAACACTAAATTTTACGGAAGGAATGYCAGAAGGAAGGTGCATCCAGAAAATTGAAAATGGGCGTGACGTCGCCCACTTATGGRYMAAAAACCATATCTCAGGAAGTACTCGACCGATTTCAATGAAATTCGGTAAATAATATTTTCTTAACACCCTAATAACATGTACCAAATGTGGGTGAAATCGGTTCCACGCCTGGAATTTCGATTATCACTTTATCATGTGAGAGTATAAAATGTTCGGTGACAACCGAACTTTGCCCTTCCCTACTTGTTTACATAGCGTTTCATGAACGATACGTCCAATAACGTGTTTTGACTTATCAAAACTAAGTTTTCTCCATAACTCTCATTCTATATTGGATATTTTGATGTTTTAGTCAGCCTCTTTTCGATAAATATATGGTGTTCTGACTGGGAGTTAGTGATGTACTTACTAAAGTTTGGTGCAGAGCACGCATGAAATTATATTTAAGGTATCAGCATCATATTTTGTTAAAAAATAGTTCTTTGTGAATACATTAAGCTTCTTTTTTACTTTTACTTTTCAAATTACCGAAACTTATGTTATTCAAAAAGCAATAACTCACGAACCGATTGCCGTACTGTTATGAAACTTATACATGGGTGTTTTGAGGTTAGGCTTAATTATATAACGCATTGAGACGTTTCCGTAAAAACATTACCTACTTTTCAGCCAGTGTAATTTTATTTTTATATTTTTTTAGAAAACATTTTTTGTAGTATGAGGAAGAATGGAAAGTCGGAGTGTCTCTCCCACTGGACAAGGTATTACTTCATTGGAGAGAAGAATATATTTAATCTCTTCTATTGTACAGACTGACTGACGCCTAATCTGTTGATTTTCTGCTTTTTCCTTATATTTGAAAACCGAGGGAAATGGTTGAGTACAGTACGGAACATGTGGACTAAAGACATGACGATATTTATGTGTAGCTTCTAAAGCACAGAGTTTTGGGTTAGGTGGAAATCTAGGTCCCCATGCTGTCTATCTATTCACGAATGTACTTCCTGAATCAGTCTGTGGGTCCATCATCCTTTGCATGAAATTTACTACCGTTGTTACCACAATGTGATGCTTTTTATTCTCTCTTATCTTCGATAGACGTCTCTGATAAGTTGTATATTCGCTCGAATGCGTCTCCCTGGATGTCAATCGGATCCATACTTTCTAATACCTCAGCAGCGTCGTTTGATATGGTTCGGAAAGCACGCGTATTGTAGAAAGCGTATGCAATGCGTCAATTGGTCTAGCATATGATTTTAAGTCTAGTGCCTGTATCCATATTGGAGCCGCATACAGTATAACTGATCTCATTACATTAGCTATTAAAAAACATTGGCTGGAGTTCACTATTACACTAAGATTCATTAATTGTGGCTGTGAAGTAATCTCAAATTCTCCTATGGTTAGCCACATCATTTTCTTAAAATTTCTTGGAGTTTATGCTAAAGAATTCTGTTTTCTGTTCAGCCAGCTCTAGACTCATTATAGCAAACCATCGGCGAAAACTATTTATGCAGTAATTGCATTTGATCCGGAGGTCATCCAAATGTTTAGCCATTCCAGTGTAAGGAATCCTAGTGTAATTACCAGGAAAATTTATTTTATGGCATAGAATTTCGTCACTGGAAGATAAATCTCCAGGCAGTAAAGCATATATCGTAATAAAATTATGACCATATACCTGTATTGCTGAAGCTAGAGGGAAAGCTAATTCCATACCAAAAGTGAGTGCGATCGTTTTACAACTTCAGCTGGTAACGAATGCTGACTTTACAATTTATCTTGTAAATATTTCACTTCTTTCCTCCTTACCGAATGTGGGAACATCTAAAATTGTATTAGAGATCGACTTAACTTAAGCTCTTCGCTACTTGTTGAATATACACACCTATATTTAACAGTTGTTGCCGCTAAATCTACTCGTTGACTGTATAGCAAGTTGCCCGCAAATGTAGAACATATTCTCGAGCAGATGGTTTGCCTTTTAACGTTCCCTTGCTGGCAATCATCGAGCACTTCATCTCATAACGCAATTTATGCACCACAATATATCATGCGGAAATGTTCTGTTTATCTGCTACAAGTCATATACTCGTACCACGTGTGTGTGTATATGTGTGCTATCACTACTGCTTCTTTGCTCACCGCTATTTGCTTTTAGCAGTTTCAAAGCATGTTTAGAAAATATGAAATAAAAAAAAAAACATTTACATCACTTTTTATGTGAATATTTTTTTTATGAAAATATGCATTTGAAAGTTCAAGAGAAAACAGGGTGAAGAGCAACAAATTATTATTCATCAAGTTCTGAAACGGTACAAGTCTTTTACATATATACATGTGTGTCTAGATTGCGTTCACAAAGAGCATAAATAGCCGTTACGTATAAATATATAAATGTGCTTATAAGTATATCTCTATATTGCTGATTTAGCAAATGTATACATACCATATGTATGTATGTAAGCAATGTTTACCTAAAAACTTTTAAATGCTAAATTCTATGTTAGTAGCAAAAAGTACATTCAAAAGTACAAGCTATAACATAATACCCTTCACAAGGTGTGTTTTTTTATATATATCCTCAAAATAAAAACATATTTCTCTCCTACTTTTTTTTAAAGAAACAACCACAGAAATTTCAAATTTAATGGGGAATATTTATTATCATTCGAAAGAACATTCTTAGTCATTTAGTTTTGGAAAATTATCTATTTCAAATGTTGACCGTAGCTAAGTCTCAGATGTTCTATCTATCGAGTCCAATTTTCGGACTCGTTCGAGCATTTCGACTGGTAACGGGCGAATTTCCCGCGCGATTTTTTGCTCCAAGGCATGAATTGAAGCGAAGTTAACCGCAATTAACTTGGTGGCCAATCGACAAGCCTAATACGAGAAATTATCTACTCACCCAAGTCTTCTCTCAAGAAATCCGTTGATTGTAGCGATGTGGCGTTTAGTTGACCCCAATTGTCGTCGGGGTCACGAGCTTCAATATCAGGCGATTGACGGTTATGTTTTCACCGGCTCCATTTTTGTAGCTTAACACAACTCACACGTGATCCATAAAAAAAGGCTATTAAGTAAATTCAAGAAATGTATCACCCGTTAAAAAAGTGTTTCATACAAGAACTTGATAATTATCGATCAGTTTGTTAGCCTACTGTGATTGGTACCAATTTATTCGAGAAATTTATCGATGGATCTTACAATAAGTCATCCGATATTTTGTGAAAACATATTCTTAAATGAAAAAGTTGTATATACTTTTTACTGTATGATATATAGATCCGATATCTCAAAAGGAACAAAAAGGACTTGTGCGGGTATATATAGACGGACTTAACACTATATAAACTAAGCTTGTCATGCTTACATATATTTAGCGGTCTCCGCTGTTTTCAGCCATTTTTTCTCCTCTTTAAAATTTTATATTTTAATGTGGTAATTAATTTCAAGGTAGCGCATATGATCTAATCTAAAAACGTCTGTTAAAGTTTCATCTCAAATTGTAAGATTGCTCCGATGATCTCGTTTAATGTTCGAAATTCCAGAATTTTTGTGAATTGTGTTTTCTTCCTCCCAAAATTTAAAAAAGATTTCGACTTGTTTCCCTTTTTATTTTAAAACTAAAACTTCAGGAATACAAAATTTAATGAAAAAAGAAAATATATAATTCAAAAAAACCAACCTGATATAAAAATGCTGATATCTATCTCGCCAATTTGAAGTTCGTATATCGTCACCTAAAACGCAAAACAAGGTATCTTAAAGAAAAACACGGAATTGAGTTTTTTATTGCTTATGATTCATTACATCATATTAAATATATTATACTATGTTGCACAAAATTTTCAGCTTGCGTTGTCAGTTATAACTAATATTAATTTAACCAATTTATAACCAAAACACAAATTTTGTTTCATTATGAATGGTTTCTATTATATCGTTTTTGCTTCGCCTGTAAACTTATAAAAAGAGAAATACGTTAGTTTGCATTTTAGGTGACGATATGAAACTAATAATTTGGTAGTCGAATTTCTTTGTTCTCAAGTGACCATACAGTTTTAAAATTAATAGAAAATGCTAAACACCCGGCTTTAAGCTTGCCCTAACCCCTTTTCAGAAGTCTCTAAACGTACAACTAGAGTATGTAGTAATATCTGCGTTATAACACTCCGCGATTTCGTATTTAACTAGACAGCTATAGTTAAATTCGAATCGTCAAGCGTTGGAGAGAAGCGCATCGAACTGCTCAATCAAACGAGCAGTACCTTTGATGCAACCCAGCGCTAACATGTTTTCTGACGCATGCAGAAACGTTTTATGATTCTTTCTTCGTGAAGAAATCACTCAAGATAGCCCTTGTACCACTTTAATGAGCCATCTGCAAACTGAGGTACGAATTTAACTCGTTTACTTTGTTATTGCTTTTACATGCATTTTTTTTTACAAGAGAGCACAAGCGAGTGGAAAGATGGCGAATCGAAGACAGAGCCTACTATATTTTTAAACTTGTTTAGTTTTTATCGAAATTTTGATATAAGTCCGGTTGGGTGCCGTTTACTTATTGCTTACTTTCATATAACGGTTTCTTGTGGCCGTTCAAAAGCCTTTTTCTACATTTTATGCAAATGGGTTCGTTCCGCGCATTGACTGCACAATAGTCGGTGCTAAGCGGAGAAAGCGACCAAACATACGGAATGTTTAAAATAAATATACCATATATGGTAATACTTCGTTGAAGTGACAATAGTGCAAACAACCTTTTCTGAGAAATTTATTAATATTTGCAGTTTAATAATCGAAAATCTTTAAATGTTAATATTATGTTCAGAAAAACTCCTTGATTTAAGCAGGATGGAAAGGAACTAATGCTGAATTGCAAATATTGCACTATCCAACAATTCTGAAGAAAAAGTTGGCGACGGATGCACTAAGAGGTCCGTGAGGTCCGGTGGAGGCTTAAGCTACTCAAAAAATTCTACATGTTTAGAAATTTCTACTAAATTTTTCGGTTTTGGCAACCCAAAATTAGCAAGAAACGGCTTCTAACATCGCAATCGTAAAAAGACTACAAACTAGTGTTATTAAAGACTGACAATTGCAACAAAAGAATATTAAGAGTTTGATATATAAAACGGCACAAATTTAAATAACACTTTTAAGGAAAAACCTAACTGAAATTTAATCAAAAATGTATTTTTTATTTAAAGTTTTCAAAAATATTTTAAAACATTTTAATAATTTTCAATTTGTACCCGCGCATCATTATGACAAATTTCACTATGGTTTGCTTGCCTCACCATTGTGATATTCTTGAAAAGTAAGTGGACCCATTCAGAGTTGAATTTCGGCGAAATTCTCTATTTTTTATCTTTGAAATTGATCACTGTGCACGACATCCTCGCCGAACTCCAAAAATCGCACGTACATAAGTAGAAGTAGAGCGCCTTTGTTTTCCTTTCGTCTGAGCTTTTCATTTTCTCGTTCCACTTTTCTAATGCAAATTCCAATTACTAATTCGTGTTGTAAAGTGAAAATAAATAACAAAATTCTACCGGCAAAATACCAAGCACGACAAAAAAGTACAACTGCCTGCATATATGTATGTACGTTTCTACACATCTATGTAGTTTCCACGAACGCCGACGTATTAAAGTCAATCCTTTGCGGCCTCAAATACAAACAAATGCCCGCGTTTAGACATATACGAGTATACACACATAAAGCACATGTGTTGCAAATTGTTGCTGACTTGACATTTATATGCGCGGATTCATTTTGGTTTTTAAACTAAGCCAGCATCTGTACGTATCTAAATATGTGCACATGTACACATGCAAGAATTGGGTGTCGTGGCGTATGAGTAATATTTGTGCGATATGCATGGCCGTGCATTTGTGTTAAACGCGCTTACTTTTTATTTATCGTTATTTGCTTCTGCTTGTTACACCTGCGACATGGAATATTTGTGAGAACGCAAAAGCTTTTTAAATTTCGTTTTGTTTCCTGTAAGGAACGGATTTGAAATATGAAAAGCATCGAGCATTTTGCTATTAGCATTTCTGTATGTATGAGTTTATATACAGTACTCGTAGATCTATAAGTAATTGTATTAAGACTATAGAGACTTTCTTCGCTTACAAATGAACAATGTGTGATTTAATTTTTTTTTGAATATGACTGAGATGTAACGCTACACGACTTTTCTTCAAGTCAGAAGAACAACCCAAAAAGACTTTTTTCGGGCTATGGTACGGGCCTGGTCTCTCCTGGTCATATACTATATATTGTAAAGTATTGTGATCATATTATGAACTTTTTATGACAAAAATAAAGGGTACCATACTTTACTTAAAATAATGCATCCGAAAGTTTTCTATTAATCCAGAGCCCAATGGTTTTCTAACAAAGTCATCCAAAACATAACGTAAAAATCATAAAAAAAAATTTTCTCTTTTATGTGTCACGTTCGATTGAAGTTTAATAGGAAATTGGTAGAGCCAATTATACAGAGTTTGTTACTATGCTAATGTGCCAAGAGGTATGATTGAGTTATGAGAACGAGAGAAAAATCATGATATTCAAAATCATCAGCTTTTCAGCAAAGTTAAACGAAAAAATCAAATGGCTTGCAACAAGTTCAAAGTCAACATCACCTTTTTACTTGAAATTTTGTATTTTCTGCTTTTATGCTTAGCTAAAATAGATTTTTACATTGAATGCACTAGGGCCAAGGAACTTTTCATGAAACAATTCAAAAACACGTTTGTTTTTTGTGGTGCAAACCCTCAGATGTGTGTGCCTGGTCCTGTGTGTGCGTGTGTTTATTTCTTGAAATTGCAGATACTTCCAGGCACAGTTCACGGCGCGATGACTATGATGCCTTAATTGCTTTTGACGAAAAAGTGTTGAAAGTAAACAGCTGCGGAATTTGATTTGTCTTATCATTTTAAAATTTGAAGTG